CACAACACTGCAGTGATTTGACTTATAGGTTTCTAACTGAATTTGGAGCCCGCACGTCTCCTTTGAAGCCAAATGCATTAGGGTGTTCTTTCAAATCTGGAAACAAATCGCAACAGACAATGGCACGAACATTGTCGCTGTTTGTTGATGGCGCAGTCAAACAAGAACCGAAAGTTTCCTTGCCCTTGGTGGTAGGTCAGTGCTAATATTAATCAGTAAAGAAGTATGGTGCATTGTTTTTGGTAGAACTTGTTCGCTTGTTGTATATTAATATTCTGGGATAAGCTATGATCTCTGTTCAGTTATTACCAGTCATTCCTCCGTCTCGAAATTGTTTTTGCCAGATATTTGTTTTTGTATTCATGTCTCATTATCAGGCATGGATCCAATTGTGATGACGTTTATTCCAATTCTTCAAAGGTCAATCGTGTCTCTAAGGACTATACGCTGAATGTTGGATGATATTGTTTGCTTATGTTTTCATGTAATACATCATCTAAGACGACAATAAAACTGAATCGTATCTTCGGAACCAATTCTCAATAATCGCCTGAACGCACGTTGAACATTGGGGCCCGTTTAATCATGTCGAAAACTGTGAAACCAAATAGATATTTCAGGAAAGTGCTTTGGGAGTGACGTCACTGAATATGGAGACGAATGATTTCAAACGCTCTACAGTATATTTTCCAATACACGTTTTAGGTTGAAATTGTTGTGTTGTCAATCGCAACTTACAGCAATGCCCGTTGGTATGGCGTACGCATGAAGTCGGGCAGTAAACATGACATGCGTGCACGAACCGTGATAATTGACATTATTGGAAAATGGGAAATAACTCGTGTTGTTTTGGAAGTGGGGACTGAAGTTTTGAAGATATGATATTGAACTTGAAGTTATAATTCTTCATTCTTCAGTTCCAGATTGCGCACTCCTCTATGAAAACGTTCCAAAAAGGCACACACACGCACACGCACACACACGCACACGCACGCGCACACACGTGGTATTCAGAGACTGTTGTGTAGGGTGTGGTGTTCAGAGACGTGGTGCTGAGAAAATGTAGACAGCCGAGCGTTGAAAGCTGCGAATTGAGCGTGGCGAACTGAATGTTGAGATTTGAGTGAGTGAGTTAAAATTTAAAGTCACTTTGGCAATATTTCAGCCATATCTTGACTAAAACAACATACATATTAACAATAATTAAAGATAGAGCATAAAATCCTGTCAACGAAGGACAGTAAAACAACTAGAATATCACAGATATAAATGTAAAACTAGCAATTAAATCTAAAACATTTTAACTTTAGAGGACAACACAATAAAAATAGGCTAAAGATCACCATCAACTGAAGGTAGTTCACCATACTAGGGACCATGGGGACTTACAGTACCTTGCTACCTGCATGGACCCTAGCTGGATTTACAGCATCCCTTCAGCCGCTGGCAATTGTAGGAAAATTTAGCCGGCAGTTAAAAGAACACAAATACTACGATTAAAATGTGGTAAATTTACATTTTACTTTGAGGACAATAATTTTACAGTACTTTAACCCCCCTTTGAGAGTACAGCCACTAACAATCTAAGTTACTCATCTGAACTACCAATAATAAAATATATATATATTTACAAAACTATTCATCAAAATTGCTCTAGCAATTCTATTTCTTTTAAGAATTCAATGATTAAATGATAATTAACACTAAAAAGATCCTTCACTGTTTTTACATTAAAATATTTATCCCTTGTGATGGCAAATTCAATACAGTCAAGCAAGACATGCTTGACTTTGATTCTTTCATCACAAGGGATACAAAACGGAGGATCCTCACCTTTTAACAGGTATTCATGAGTATACCTTGTATGGCCAATACGACATCGTCGCATGATGACCTCTTCCAATCTGGACTGACAACCAAAGTAGGTGTAACCAATATAGGGTTTTATTTCATGTAATGTATTAATACCTACTTGGGTGTCCCACTTCTTTTGCATCAGATCACGGATGTAAGTTCTAATGCTAGCTTTGTAATCAGAGTATGGAATAAGAAGTGGTGTCACAGATTTGTTGAGTGCTGCCTTAGCAGCAAAGTCGGCCATTATGTTACCAGAGATTCCAACGTGGCTTGGTAACCAACAACAGACGATGTCGTATTGGCCAGTAGCAAGATCATTATATAACTCAATTATTTCGATTAAAAGTGGATGTTTACACGAAAGATTTTTAATAGCCTGAAGGCAAGAAAGAGAATCTGAAAATATGATATATTGTTTATATTTAGTGCGTGTATTTATATATTTAAGAGCTGTTAGAATTGCGTCATTGGGTAATCTGGAAGATATTGTTTTGGACCCAATGACAGTGGCACAAGCCACTGCACCGCCATCCTTGGATCCATCTGTGAATAAGGATTTATATGTATTGTATTTACTTTTTAATTCATTAAGTTCTTGTTCATATTGTAATTCATTAGTTCCTGATTTTTTAAATGCTATGGAAGGACGGGAAGGAGCTATATTGTTTAGCTCAATGCCAGCAACGGAAAGGAAAAGTTTCACTCTTATACCAATAGGCGGAACAAGAGAAGACTTCTTGTTATACAGATCCTCATACAGGGATTGAAGACAAAGTTATATGCAGGGTTTGACTCGTTGGAATATAGTTTTGTTATATACTGTAAAGTTAATTTTATACGGCGTTGGTTGAGAGATGGCTCATCAGCCTCGACGTAGAGGCTGTCGACAGGTGAAGTTCGAAAGGAGCTAAGACAAAGTCTTAGACCTTGGTGGTGAACAGAATCTAAAAGTTTTAGGTTGCTTTTGCAGGCTCTACCATATACAATGGAACCGTAATCAAGTTTTGAAAGGACCAATGATCGATAAAGTTGTAGGAGGGTAGCTTGATTGGCAACGACTTTCAACAAGTCAAGTGCCTACAGGCATTTAGTTTTAAGGGATTTGATATGTGGCAGAAACGTTAAGTGTGAGTCAAAATTAAACCCAAGAACTTGGCCTTCTTTACAACTTTGATGGGACTGCCATTTAGAAACAGTTCAGGGTCTTTATGCAGTTTATAATTTCTACAAAAATGCATACAATTAGTTTTGGATTTAGAAAATTTAAACCGTTTTCAAGACACCATTATCTAACACAACTGCAGTTGCCGTTCAATAGTATGCATATTTTTCCCACGACAAGAAATATTAAAATCATCCACAAAAAGAGATCCATCAATTGAATCATTTAAAACTTGTGATAACCTGTTGACCTTAACACTAAACAATGTGACAGACAAAATACTGCCTTCTGGGACACCCTGATCCTGACTGTAATGTTCAGACGGGGTAGTCCCCACTCGGACTTGAAATTGTCTGTCTTCTAAAAACTGTGATATAAAAAGGGGTAAACGACCCCTCAAACCAAAATCATGGAGATCTTTCAAAATGCCATAGTTCCAGGTCGTATCATATGCCTTTTCAAAATCGAAAAAATTGATACAGTATGTTGTTTATTTAGCATTTTTGATGAAAGACTCTAATCGTTCCATTGTTTTGCAAACACAGCTAGTTAAAGAAATTGGTCTGTAATTAGATGGATCCGTATGATCCCGGCCAGGTTTAGGAATAGGAATGATTATGGCATTGCACCATGATTGGTGGGAAATTACCAGAAGTCCATATACTGTCAAAGATAATTAATAATGTTTCTAAACATGATTCAGGTAGATGTTTAAGGAGCTGATAATGAATATTATCGGGACCTGAAGCAGTCTCATGAGCTTGCCCAAGGGCAGTATGGAGCTCATGAATGGAAAAGATTTCATTATAATCCTCCCCATTATCTGAATTAAAAATTAATTTTCTTTTTTCTTGCTGGGTTTTAAATTTCTGAAAAGTTGGTGAATAATTGGATGAGGAAGAATGTTTAGCTAACGTTTCACCTAATTTGTTAGCAACATCAGATTTTTCAGTCAAAAAAAGAGTCACCCTCCTTAAGATGGTGCACACTACATTTGGAACCTTTACCTTTCATCTTCTTCACCATATTCCATACCTTAAAAATAGGTGTTCGTGAGTTAATTTTAGAAACATAATTTCGCCATGACTGTCGTTTATTTTGTTTAAATGTACGACGAGCCTTGACGTTTGTAATTTTAAATTGGTTTAAGTTATGGACTGTTGGGTGCCGACGGAAATATTTTTCTGCCTTTTTCCTAGCCTTTCTAGCATGTTTGCAGTCAATAGTAAACCATGGCTTACGAATGTGTGGCATCATAGAGGACTTGGGAATACAATCATCAGCAATCATGTTTAAATCATCAGAAATCATCTGAATAGGATCAGACACATTTAGAAAGAATTCGGCTTTTAATCTGTTTGTGCATAAGGTCTTGAATAAAGACCAATCTGCCTTGTTAAAGTTCCACCTAGACGATGGTGCAGCATCACTGGGGTTTATGGCTGAAAGTATAGTGGGGAAATGGTCACATCCACAAAGATCATCGTGGACTGACCATTCAAATTCATTGTATAAACTGGAATCCGCAACAGATAAATCTAGAGAGGAGTATGAGCCAGTTGCAGGATGAAGATATGTGTTAGAAGTATCATTGAAAATACATAAATCAGTATTTGTGAAGAAATCCTCAAGAATCGTTCTTTTTGCGTTGGTGTTATTACTACCCCAAAGTGGGTTATGACCATTTAAATATCCAATGATAAGACATGGTTTTGGGAGTTGGTCATAAAGCATCTGAAGATCAGATTGCTGCAGAGACGATGATGTTGAGATTTGAACTCTGACAGTCAGCGGTATAGCAGATTTTCGCAGTGAGGAGAGTTGAGACGAAGGTCGATCTTTGTGAGTGAATAGTGAAGTGTGATTATTTGCAATAAAAGCTTTAGAACTATGTACACCACTAATAATCCTACTCTTTGTCTTTCACCCTGTAGCTTGAACACTGTATCAGTTATCATTATGTGCAACTGCATTGTTCCAGAGCGTCATATTCCACGTGGAGAAGCACCCCATCTACCCCTGGTTTACACAGTGTGTCACATTCAACTTCTTCAGAACGCCAATGCACGAGCTGGCATACAACCTGTTCCATGTGATCGCCGTGTACGGCCTGCCTCTGCTCATCATCACAGTCTCCTACTCGCTCATACTCTGTGAAATCTCAAAAAAATCTAGACAAAGCAAAGGTATGTCATTTATGGACCTCTCCTCAAAAAGATCCTCTGTTAAAGAAATCGATCAAACTGAACAAAAATATAACGGACTCTTTCCAGAGCCTTTCGCAATATATTTAACTCACATTTTAACACGCTCTGTTTTCTGACAACCCTGTCGTCATTTCAGATGAGCTTCTAGATACATCATCAAGGGCAAAAATTGGGCTGAGGCGTTCCGCAATGGGGAATATTGAACGGGCGAGGATACGTACATTGAAGATGACACTCGTCATTGGTGCGTATTTGAGTAATGTGCACGTGTCTGTGTACGTATATCACATGGTTCGTAATCTGTACATATAACACTCTGGCGTATGCAGCATGCTCAACGCCACTTCCTTATTTCCTACCCATCGACTTCACGCCATTGTCGCCACGTCATTGTCTTCAAGAATGGATGCAAGTAGGGACCGTGTTTGTTGTGGTCTTCGCACAGACTGTCTACAACACATACTTCTGGATTCCCCAAGAACAGAATATACCGTATTTCCTCTGATAAGCGCCGGGGCGCTTATTATTTCAACACCCGTGAAGGTCCGGGTTAGAATGTGCCTTCAGTAACCCATGCTTGTCGTAAGAGGCGACTAACGGGATCGGGTGGTCAGGTTCGCTGACTTAGTTAACACATGTCATCGGTTCCCAATTGTGCAGATCGATGCTCATGCTGTTGATCACTGGATTGTCTGGTCCAGACTCGATCATTTACAGACCGCCGCCATAAAGCTGGAATATTGCTGAGTGTGGCGTAAAACTATACTCATTCACTCACTCACTTATTTTTTCAACGGGCTTACAGATCCGGCGCTTATTAGAGGCGCTTGTTGGAGACCTGGCGCTTATTGCGCTTACTGGGCACACAGTAATTAATTGTCAGTGAGCGTTACGTCAAAGTTAGGGACCATTCCTTAATAAATCTATATTTGGTTCAAGTGTTGGGTTTGAGGCAGCGTGCGACAGTATAAAATAGAAACTGACTGAATGATTTGATTAAACATGACGAAAAAGAAATAGTTAAGTAGAGTTTAACAGTAAGTAAAACAGATTACTTATTTATAGGTGTTACTGTAGCTTAAACTAATAGTGATAATGCTACTTAGTCAAAGTAGTCTGTCTGTCTGTACACTGTCCATACTCTCAAACGAAACTTGTGAGTTTTGTATTCTCAGATGTTTCACTACAGCTAAATGATGGCACAGAGAATAAGCAATGACATTTATGTAAAGGTGAACATTGTACACAGAGAAAATATTAATGTCCGGTATGCCCAGAAGGTTAATTGTCAACTAATAAGAGCGACCTGACTCTTAAGTATCATGGTTAGAGGATAAATTAAGTTAATTAAGTTTACAAAAAGTAAAATAAAGGTCTGCGCTCCTGATGTCAAGGCGGAGAGTAAACGTGGTTTTGGTTATTCTGACACAACTTTATGCGAGAAATTGAAGTATGTGGACATTAACTAGTTATTTTATATTTGCCATGTCGTACTTGCATCTTAATTGCTTAAATGACATTAAAGCTTTTATTCTCCCGGCCCTGTGCATCTTATATGTGCGTCAAAGTGTCTCGTTTGGCAGGTTACGGGATTTATTGGCGCCACTTGTATCCAATTTGCCATTTCGTAAAATTGATTTGATTTTTATCTCTACTTTCAGTGGGTGTATTTGCCATGTGTTGGACACCATATTTTGTCATCTCAGCTTGGTGGTGGTTTGATAAGTAAGTACTGTAAAGCTCAGCTCACGTATACTGTCCTTTGTCGGAATGTAGATTTCGGATCTATATACATATGAAAGAAAAACACGCTCGGAATCATAACCTATTTTATGTTAGCTCCTGCGCACGAATTTCTCGAATGTTTGCTTTGATATGATAAACATGTTCCACGGTTACTTCGGAAGTAAGGTTTATGTTTTGTATCTAAAGTGTAATACTTATGTAATTCTCATACTTAAGAACTTTCTTATTATAACAGAAACACCGATATAGATTACTGTTGCCAGAAGCAAGAGAAAAGCAATATAACGGCAATGTGCACTGATAGCTTTATATAACGTTCAACGGAAAAACATTATACCTCAAGCAAAAGAAAAGAATGGATGTATGTGGATGGTACAATTGCTATGCATTGAAAAGTTCAGAAGAGAAATGATAAGAAATACGACCGTATCTTGAAGTAGTGATCGATGACTCCAGCCGTGGGGTACAGTTACCATGTATACCATCATTTCAGGGAGTCAGCCAGTAAAGTGGACCATACGATACACAAAGGTTTCTTCCTATTTGCCGTCTCCAACTCCTGCATGGACCCTATCGTTTATGGTAGGTGAACTATTCATTCGTATGTCTGTGGACGGTAAAGAATGTATTCTAAAGAATGGAGTTATAATTACAGAGTAAGTGGTAGGTTACATATTTATCTGTGTATGTGGTAGATGAACTATGTGGTTGGTGAATTATTTACCATCGTTGTTGTGGTGTGTGTTTAGGTACCAACATCTCCGTGTTAGATTGTCAATTTATCCCCTTGATTGTGGTAGTTGGTTTATTTATCCCAAGTTTGTCTTTGGGGCATTGTATGTAGTTGGTGAATATTTATCACAGTGTCAGTGGTACTTGAAATATGTACCTTGTGGCAGGAGAAGGTTTTCTCCGCATCTTATTTACGTTGGTGTCAGTAGTGAGTGAATTATTATCCCAGAATTTGTGGTAGAATAGTAGTGTGTGTGTGTGTGTGTGAATTTGGTTTTACGCCGCTTTTAGCAATATTCCAGCAATATCACGGCGGGGAACACTAAATATGGGCTTCACACAATGTACCCACGTGGGGAATCGAACCCGGGTCTTCGGCATGACGAACGAACGCTTTAACCACTGGGCTACCCCACCGCCCTAGAACAGTAGTGTTTTCAGGTAGTTATGTCAGTGCCATTTTCTGCATAGATCCAGGAGCTCTGGTCACAAATCAGTTGCATTTAAGCAACGTTGGTCACAGAGAGTCCTTGGATGGGTGATGGTGTTTGGCAGTTTGACTCCTGAGAGTTTCTAGGGCTTCTGTCCTGCCCCACAACGAAACACATATGGTCTCGCCGGAGGCAAATGAGGTTTTTCAAAATTACTTCTGTTCACACAGCAGTTGGATAAGTTATATGACTATTAACTTTCTAGCACTTCACAGGCAGCTTGGGTTAGCGGGGTAAAAATGTCCATTTTGTTGTATGCGCTTAGAGCATGTCCCTGTGGCACTATATAAGTTGCTTGGAATATCCATGTCCATTATGTTGTATGCGCTTAGAGCATGCCCGTGTGGCGTGGCGTTCAGCGCTAGTTAAGTGGCCGAATTAATGTCTGCAGTAGGTGAATGATGTATTCTGGTGTGCGTTGAATGTGAATTATGTATTTTAATGTCATTGTCAGGACATTTATCCTGTTCTTGTGTTTGTTGGAGGACAATTGTGTATTCTTGGGTTCGTGCTTGGTGGGTGTCTTACTCTATTGATGATGGTCAGAGAATTGTTTCGTTTTGTGTCGAATGGAGCCCAGTAATCCAATGTTGATGGTCAGGGAGTATGTATTATAACGTCAACTGTAGGTCAACTGTGAATATATCCTTGTGTCTGTGATAGATGCAATATATTATCGAGTATCTGTGGTAGGAGAATAATTTATGTAGGTTGGTGTAGGCGAAATATTTATATCAGTCTATGAAGTAAGAGACTTATCTATTCTAGTGTCTTTGGAAGGATGGGTATTTATTTTAGCGTCTGTTGTTGGAGAATAATTCACTCTTGGGGCAATGGTCAGAGAATGATTCATTTAATTCCGTGACTGTGGTAAAGGAATCGTGTATTCTAGTGTCTGTGAAATAGTTACCCTAGGAATGTTTTTTTGGGGGTGGGGTGGGAATGAGGGGGGGGCCTTGTAGTCGGAATTGTATATATGCCCCATACATGATAGGTAGATACTTTATCATCGTATATATGGAAGGTGGAGCAGTTTCTTATAATGTCAGGTGAATAACTTTCCAGTTTTCGTAGTGAAGTGCATCATATGTTTTACGTGTAACTTACATATCTGTCAACGATGGGCAACAAATATTGTATCCAATTGGCTGTTGACAGTCATATAACAACATTGTAGTAACGTTGTCCCTTATGCTCTTTTACACTTTTGTACGAACACTTTTTCAAAATTTAATTGTTAATAGGGGAGGGGTGAATTAAATAATTCACCATAATTCGTCTTGCTGCCATGAGTGCTTATTCTTCTGTCAAAGTTGAGAAAAGATGGTTTGTGTTGGGTGACACTTGGTACGATGATACAAATACACGGTGGTACAAAGCGTATATGAAAAGAGACAGGAAGCACCTGCTTTCTTTCATTGACTGTTTATCTTAGTTAGGTGTGTGCGTGTGCGTTTACAGATATGTACTGTTTGTTCATGTGTACGAGTGTTCTCTGATGACGACGAAACAAGTTGTAATACATGCCTGCACTGAAATTATTTCATTTGTGTAACTACAGTGTTTTTTGCAATTAATTGCATGCTCTTTGTAGAATTTTCTTTGACAAAAATCAAATTTCAAAAGTATAAGTTATAGTTAAGCAGGACAAAAACAAAAGATCTTTCAAATCAGATTGACACTAGGGTGCCTTTTCGTTGCAGGCATGTTTACCACTGCATTTCGCCGAGAAAGCAAGAAATGGCACAGATGGTTTAAACAACGATTAAACGGAAACCCATTCTCCAGTAAATCTGCCACGGGTCAGCCGTACATGTACTCATGCTCCTTCTGACATAGAAAGACAAACACAGTCTAACTGACACACACGTATGTTTCAGTCACACTGTGTTTGCAATACATTGCTAAATACCCCGAAGCTGACTATATTGCTAGCGGCTGTGACTGTCAACATTGCATACATCCCTGCTATACCGCTCCTTCAACACGCACTGTCTATTACAGGGATGTTCACGATTAATTTCAAAAGAGAATTTAAACGATGTTGCTGCTGTCTGCGGTCCCGATGGCGAAGCAAGAAACTTGGGGAGGTCACCAGCACAAGCAGATCCTTCATCGGCGCGTACCGTCAGGGACGAAGGCTGTCTCAGAGCTCCATATCCTCCAAGACAACAGAGAGAGTGTACTTCCGTAGTCCCGAGTCATCGACAGGGTGCATCCGCTACCTCCCGGCCCCAACTGCTCCCCAACAAAGTCCCGCATGTCCCTCGTCTCTGTCTCCCGGGAGAACAGCGTCTCGAGGGCCAACATTAACAACTTTGTCGGCTTCTGATAATCATTCAGTCATGAACTGAGAGCTGTGGTATTTATTGACTCTGAACTGTCGGTGACTTTGTATGGTCTCTTCATTATGTTTGCCCAGAGGTGCACCGATGAAGCACTGAAAAGGACTGGTATTCTCTCTGCCTTAACGACGCGACAGTTCTTGCCATAGCTCGACAAGTGTACTTAGAAAACCATTTGATGTCTGTCAGTGTACATGCAAGTAGAAATCCGAAAACACCATTAGCATTTTTTATTACAATGGGTAAACTCCTTAAAAGTTTGACTTTAGTAGACTATCTTCCCGAATTGTGAAATACAAGTCACTACTCCCAAGTGTAGTGATGAAACATCTCCATCACAACCAGCGACCTGACCAATGAATGTAGAAATATGGCATTGTGTAGGCACGTATCCTTTGTTTAATGGCCTACCAATCATATGCTAACCAGCTCTGTTTCATGGCACCCATTCAGTTCTTTACAGGGGAAACTGTCAATTTTGAAATCCAATTCAAAAGATTACTATTTGCTTTCAGACAACAACTGACATCCATTTGATACATTTTCGGCTGCGGCTTCTGTTTCAGTCTACTCGAGACTTCCTCTCCATATATGCAAACTTCAATGATATTGTGTGCGGGGGAAAGAGGTGTGTTTTTGATTTTTTTAAAATGAGAACATTTACTTAATCTTCATTTGAGAAGAATGAGTAAATGTCACACCAGATAACGTATGCAAAGTCCTGTTTTCAAGCAGTGATCATAAGAACGTTTCTTACTTCGGATTGCAAAGATGTGATTGATGGGTATGCATGTTGACACTGTCGTTTAGCTGGGACGTATTGAGGCATGCTCATACATGCCCGGATAAACGACACTGGGTACTAAAGATGACTGATTGCAATATGTGCACATGTTGGAAGTAAAGTGTTTAACCTAAAGCGAGGTTCCCGGATATGTACAGCAATTTATAAGGTAGGTTTTGTGAACATGTGGACAGCTTAAAAGCATTAACGTGAACGTGTATGTAACAGGTGTGAGATAAACTGAGGCATTTAGACATGTGCACGTGTATATGGCAGCGATGACGAAAGATGAAACGTGACGTAAGACAAATACATATATACACCGTGACAGTACCAGGTTGAGTTGGGTGGGTATATGTACGTTTGACAGCGATGGCGAAAATTGAAGCTTCATGACGTGACATATACATATGTCAGTTAGCATGTGCAATGCAAAGTTGTGGCACGTACACGCACGTTTGACAGTGATGGCGAAAGGTGAAGCAGCATGGCATGACACGTGCACCTTACATTTAGCACGTGGATTAAAACACCTGTAATGCCCATGTGCGGCGATTTATGTTGATGCCTAGGTGACGCTCCTACGGTGGAAACATTCGCCAAAATGTAATGTGAATGAGAGTAATAAAGTGACATTGCGAATTTGTTGGATGCTACTCAAGGTAATGCCACACGTGGACAATGGTCACCTTCAGTGATTCTGAACTCTCCACTCTGCACCGGATCGTATTCTTATTCCAATACAAACAATTTGTGGTGTTGAAAACAAAACAATATCGTTGGACAAATGTTATTTTCCACACTGTAAGTTCGATTACATGTACCTTGCCAAGACGGAAGTTATCAATATTATTGGTTTGTATGTAAATATACCGTGACATGTGATATGTTTATTACTATATGGCTACATTCCCAGCACTTCGGTAATATAACCTGACCTACGTCATGAATATATTGCTGCAGTATATTTTGTACATAAAAAGAATAAATAAATATTATGTTTGTTTCAATCCATAATTTTGTCATCGTGTTCGAAGAGTCATATGTCCATTAGACGCTACATCCGACATAAATTTTTGTTGGGAAAATGAATGTTGTGTGTCGGGGTTGTTGATACAAAATCCTTATTTCGCAGGCGAACACCCTGGGCCCTTATTCTCGAAACGTTTGTAGCCCTAAGAATTCTTAACTTTGCTCGTGTGTTAAGAATGTGCTTAAGAAGTTCGTAGGGCTACGAACCTTTCGAGAATAGCTGTCAAGGTTCATATGTACACATGACGTCATGTGCATTATGTACTGGGGGTATTGTGGGTGTTAGCATCCGAACACCAGGTTCATATGTTCACATGACGTCATGTGCATTATGTACTGGGGTATTGTGGGTGTTGGCATCCAGAGGCTGACATAGGAGGTGAGGTGAGATGAAATCGGGTTTAACGTCGTGCTGGAGAATATTTCGCTCATATGACGACGTGCATGCGTGTGTATATGTATGTGCGGCTGCTTGTACTCGCCCAGACTGAAGCTGGTTTTATAGTGCTAGCCCACTGAGATACCATGCCGCAGTGAAGCATGAATGCCCCTCTCAGACACATTATACTGACTCCAAGCCGATCAGTCCTTGTTGTACCCATTAATGCCGAGCGTCAGACAGGGACCAACAAGTACCATATTTTAACGTCTTTTGGTATGACGCGGTTGGGAATCGAACCCGCGACCTTCCGCTCTCCGGGCGGACGCTCTAACCACTACACCACGGAGGCGGTCCTGACATAGGAAGGGAAACAAGATGTGATGTAGGAGAGTTCTGTGATTCGAACCAACAACGTATGTCGCTGATACGCCTAAGGAATTGCGACACCCGGCACAACTGTGCCCCCAGTGCCCGCCTGGAACAAATGCGAAAATGAAATGTACGATATCAAGGACCCATTTTTACTTAACGAACATTCTTATTCCAATACAAACAATTTGTGGTGTTGAAAACAAAACAATGTTGTTGGACAAATGTTATTATCCAAACTGTAAGTTTGATAACATGTACCTTGCCAAGACGGAAGTTATCAATATTATTGGTTTGTATGTAAATATACCGTGACATGTGATATGTTTATTACTATATGGCTACATTCCCAGCACTTCGGTAATATAACCTTTGTGCTTTCACTTCATAAGATAAGAGGTTTTCCCACTCTTGATGTTTACGCAACTGCCGATAACGATGAACGAGCTGCATTTCCTTACACTATGAATCAAATCGCATTATACAATGTTAACATGACCTTGAGCCAGTAGATCCAGAATGCAGGTACCACGACCCCAGAAAGGGGATCTCTGGAAGAGAGACTGGAGATGGAGAAAGCAGCGGTATCGGAGAGAAATGTGATCGTTTACAGAGCGCCATTACGTCTTGAGTGCAGGAACTACGGCGTCATCTCAGAGGCAGGGAAACGAAGGTATAGAACCATTAAACCAATGCGTTATGAGAGACAGCTGAATACGGACCCTATAAAAACACATTGCAAACACAGAAAAAAGCACGAAATGTGCATTACAAGGAGCAAGCATTAAGTGTCAAATATACAGAAAATAAATCAAAACTGTTCTTTTTAAGAAATAAATAGTATCTCAGCGCAGTAACGTTCGTTAAAAAAGACTTGGAGTATTCAAGTGACTTTTACATGGTGAAGAGCGTCCCCTTTCTAAGGCAGCATTATCATGAAGAACATCGTCAGTTAAAGATTTTAAACTCAGGCCTTTGTAGAGATTGATGTTCTCAAACATTTTCAGCAGCCCATGTTTGTACTAAGAAGCAACTAATCGGATAGGCATATGAAAAGGCATTGTTGAGGCTAAGAGACTGCTCAATTGTTGTTGTCGACTTCCTGTGATGGCAAAGGAAAGGATTAAAGGCAACCCTGTACTACCAGTGGTTGTTAGTGGTAAGAGGCGACCAACTGGAAAACGCGTGAAGATCTTCCAACGGAAAACGCGAGAAATGATCTTCAGCAACCCCATGCGTGTCGTCAGGAGACGAGTACAGCCGTGAACATCCTGGTTGGAAAGATGCTCAAAAACAAAAGGGATCGGGTAGTCAGGCTCGTTGATTTAGTTGTGTAGATGTCACTAAATGGTCTAGTGAAGACACGATAACTTACGGACCGCCGATATGTTGCTGAAGTATCGGCGAGTGCAGCGTTAATATCAAATTAACTGACTGATTGACTGACTGACTGAGTTTGGTTTTACGCCGCTTTTAGCAATATTCCAGCAACATCACGGCAGGGGACACCAGAAATGGGCTTCACACATTGTACCCATGTGGGGATTCGAACCCGGGTCTTCGGCGTGACGAGCCAACGCTTTTACCATTAGGCTACCCCACTGCCCCATCAAATTAACTATCAATCGAACAAGTAAGGCTACTTGTGAAACAAACACACAATGAGGCAGCATGCGTGGAGTCTTAAGAGTCAAACCTGGACTCCCCATGTTACCTCCTGGAGGAGTGACCAAAACGTCTCAAAGAGAAGGAAGTTTGTCACAAACTTGAATCTGCCGGTTGTACGTATGCCGGTCTACAAAAACAATCTTAATGTAAGAATTAAGAATCTAAATTTACGTCATACCTAACATTATGTCGAGGACACACTTGCTTTTGATCTGGCAATGCGTCCCATTCCAGAGCGCAATATTAGCACTAGGACTATCGCAAGTCTGTGTTGAAGTTCGGGAACGTCGATAGTGAAAGGATTGTCTTGTGAAACCGTGCCCTTGCGTCAGACTTTAAGGCTTAGGAATATGGATAAAACGGAAATGTAATAGCTCAAGTTAAGAACGAGAGGTTGGTGGGTAGTTTGGTGGTTAAAGCGTTAGTTCTTCACGCCGAAAACCCGACTTCGATTCCCAACATGTGTTAAGCACATTTGTGGTTACCGCTACTTGCAATCTATATGTGAGGGGTGACAATGCCTAACGCGACTGTGTCCCTATGAAGCTCGAAACAAAACCTAACGATACCACCTAACACTAGGTTACAAAACTATACCATTTCGTATTATTGGAATGGTGTAAAACGACATTATCAAGAGCATTCCTTCGTGTTTCTGATGTCGTTCAGCATGCAATGCTGCAAACGTGTGCTGACCTTGCGTGAGAGATGCACTGATTTAAACGAAGTTGCCTTACAGTCTTTTCACATTATGAATTTAGTTTTGATAGCATGTTCGTGTAGGGAATATCATTCTGCATGAAAGCTGTGATTGTGTAATTGCAAGATATTTTCAAGAAAGAACATTTGCTTAATGGTATTTACGTGAGTCTGTCACGAGAACAGTCCGCCCTTGATTTTGAGGTACATGTAGTTGCCTGAAGGATATACATGCAGGACAGTGCTGAATCACCCATCTGCCTGTGGCAGATACACTTCCACCTCTGCAGGACTCTTTTTTAATTCCTCGCGTGTGCCAACCTTGCGTGACAGATCTCATTTGTTCAGAAACCTCTACGCGTCGTATGTTAACAAGCCGGCCGATCAGGACCAGTTCACTTATTAGCAATCCTATAGTAGTTCTTTTCAGCAAGATGATTAAATATCTTCCCTCAGCTTCCAACCAATCCTTGAAAAATATCTTATATATCATGACAATTGAGACACGATTACTAACACTGATGTTGGGAAATGTCTATTAAAGTTAGCTCTTTGATCACTGCAGTATGTGACTTCATCTTGGTAGCTCTGAATTAAACAAACGTGTGTTTGAATGATGAGTTTAGGCATGCACCATTTCAACCTGCAGTTCAACCAGCTATCTATTGTACCCACTCGGTCAGTTCTAGGCGCTGTTATTTAATCTGATATATAGATATATCAGATAGCATTTGCATTTGTTTGTGGCTTTTGAGGAAAAGCTGCATGGGGACAGGTTCGAGAGAAAATGTCCTCCAACTTGGCGATCTTTGTAAATTAGTCTTAGTTTTCGAAATAGAGGTTGTCTTCCTGTCGATTTCGTGACATCCCGAAGGATAATTTTGAAGGTAGGTGAAATATGCTCTTGTACTACATTAGGTTGTTCTTTAGGTCCACTGTCAATTTGTTAGATGGGTGGGGTCGGGTGAAGAGGGACAGGGGATGCAGGATGACAGTTGAGAGTCCAGAAAATGCCATAGATATGTGCAAGTGTATCATTTATTAGGTCCATTATGAAAGTATATTATTCATATTGTCTAGCCTTGCATAGCAACACCTACACATAATGCAAAGACGACAACTTATTTGCAACAAAATATAACAATAACCCAAGTGTTTTGAATCGATGCCTTTCAATGTTCATGGAGGTGGGTGAGACAGCGTCATCTGGCAAAGACAACGTCTCTCCTCATTAGCGGGAAAAGATGATGCTTGTATTTATGGACTTGCTCATTTGTCACTTCAAAGAACAGTAAAACGACATTCACATTGATACTGATAATGGATGTGGTATAGATCATTTGATAGGCGCTGACGTATGTTCACGCTCGCATACCACCAGTGTGCTCACATACTGCATCAGTACGCTCATCCTTCCCTACCACCAGTGTGCTCACATACTACATCAGTACGCTCATCCTTCCCTACCACCAGTGTGCTCACATACTGCATCAGTACGCTCATCCTTCCCTACCACCAGTGTGCTCACATACTGCATCAGTACGCTCATCCTTCCCTACCACCAGTGTGCTCACATACTGCATCAGTACGCTCATCCTTCCCTACCACCAGTGTGCTCACATACTGCATCAGTACGCTCATCCTTCCCTACCACCAGTGTGCTCACATACTGCATCAGTACGCTCATCCTTCCCTACCACCTGTGTGTGCTCACATCCTGCATCAGTACGCTGATCCTTCCCTACCACCAGTGTGCTCACATACTGCATCAGTACGCTCATCCTTCCCTATCACCAGTGTGCTCACATACTGCATCAGTACGCTCATCCTTCCCTACCACCAGTGTGCTCACATACTACA